CCACGATAATGCCAGAATCACTGAACAAAAAATAAACGAACTTAGCTTCCAATTAGTTCCACATTCACCGTACTCACCTGATTTGGCCCCCAGTGACTTCCACCTTTTTCCAAATTTAAAATAATACTTGGTTGGAAAGAGATTCCGCTCAAATGACAGTCATCTCTGAAGTAAACGAGTATTTTGCAAACCTTGACAAATCGACTTATTGTAATGGCATAAAAAAGCTAGAACATCGCTGGAATAAGTGCATTGCTAACAAAGGAAACTACATTGAAAAATAAAAAAAGTTTTAACATTATTTTGTTTGTTGTTCTATTTGAGGCCGCGAACTTTCCGAACAGCCCTCGTATTTTCCATTTGCAAAAACATATTCACTTATATATCCCATGTAAAATATTCCCTCCTGATTATTTTTTTTCTTATTCGTAATATAGTATATCTTTTCTAGATTTTAAATTGGCTTTCGAGGAATTTAATAAGTCTTGGGAAAGAAAATTTCAAGAAAGTAAGTGTACATTATCAGAATTATATTATTTAAATAATGAAAATATATATTATTTCATAGTAAATTTTCATTAGTGAATATTTATTAATCAAAATTTAATTATTCAAATAGCTTTTTAAAGTAAAATTCCAAGATAAAAGTTGGCAATTTTTTAAAATTATAATTTGAAAACACTATTGTAAATTTGTGCAGTTCATCATGTAAACCATATCTTTCAAGGGCTTACTGAAAGCATTATACCTACCTATATTGTGTCAAATATCCATTTTTTTTCTGCTTCTTTCATTATATTTTTGTTAACAGTTTAAGGCAGATGTAGTTAAAAATAAGTGAAACAGGAATAAGATTATCTTACTCACTTGGAAGTAATTTTTAGAAAATAATACAGTGGGTGATTGATTAATGAACAGTTCAGACTATGAACAAATCAGATAATGAACACTTTCGCAAAAGATTTTTATGTTCAGACAATGAACACCTCACAGAACAAACACAAGCAGAAGTGACGTAAAATAATGAATACCGATTGGTCTTCCCTTGTCTTCAGGCAACAATTCGAAACTTTTCAGAGTGCAGGAGACGTCAACATTGATGCTCAACCTGGTATATGCTGATCAGATAGTATTCCTCTAAACTTTGAAACTCTCCTTGTAATTCCAGCCTTTTATTTTTCTGACAGAAACGTTTCTTTTATAGTGTTTGCGAGACTGTTGGGCGGGCACTCGTTTTGCACCCGTTTTTATTTTCAAAAGGTGCAAGTATAATAGCAAAGGTTAGAGAGTGAGCAGAAGATATCTGATGTTACCAGGCAATATGGCTTGAACAGGTCTACAGTAGACCGCAGTTTAATCTTATCTAAGAAGGATACAGTATAATCAAAAAGATTCAAGCAGCTAAAGGAGTAACAAAAATCACATCTGAGAAATAAAGAACATTGAAGAGCTCTTCATAATGGAACCTGAAACTGATCTGATGACAAAAGAACACTAAGAACTCTTGAATGAAAAACACCAAGAAACTATGTGAGAATGTTTTCTTCTGAAAAACAGGTTTAATGTCGACATCTGCTATTAAAGACTTTTTTTTTGAAGATGTGGGAGAATGTCAGAACAATGGTCTTAGAATGGTATCCAAATCAGGTTGAGGCTTAGGGATCTCTACAGTTACAGTGCTATTAATTACTTCTGGAAAATCCTGAAGAAGAGAGAAAAGCAATCGACATTAGACAGATTCTTTAACCCTCACAAATAGAAAAACCATGACTAATAAAAATGCAAGACACTGTATATATGTATTTTTATTATTACACTAGCAGACCCCGCCACGCTTTGTTGTGGCTCAAAATGTATCTATTGTAAATGTATAACACTTCTCCCGTGGAGGGGGAATTTTTCGAAAAATCCCTTCTTAGTGTACATTCTCTTGACATACTCTATTAAAACTCAATCAAAAACTCAAAAAACTGCATCTAAAATAGTATAAATAGAAGCAGAGTTCTTTACAGTAAGCCTTAATCCTAACCATCCTAACTTTTTTTTTTCAAAAAGCTTTCATTTCATCTTTTCAAGCTGATATAAATGTATTATACTAGTAAGTTAGTCTATATTTTTAAAAAGATATACATTTGTACGTAGCCTGACTTTATTACAGAGAAGCAAGACTCCTTAAGCTTTTCTCCTGAATGCATATGAATATGTTATAGATCCTCCAATGTATATTATATTCATAATGTAAATTCATATTAACAATTTAAAATTGAGGGAATCACGTCTATGACCACATTTAATTCACACCTGTAGCACCCAAAATGTCTAGACAAGAATAAAATAGCAAAATCAAAATGGTCATTAATTTTAAAAATTTACTCACTTTTAACTTAAAGACTAGAATACAGGAAATCTTCCAGTTTATATATTCCCAGCTTGAAATTTATTTAAATGAGTATTTACTTGAGTGAAATTTTGATTACTTCTACATTACTTTTTCTCATTCTTTCATTCCCTACACTTAAAATTGTCAAATCCAATAATCCAGACTGTCCCATAGGCTTCTCAAATAATTTTTAATAATTCTTAACTTTGAGAATTTGAGACCTCTCTGGTGTGGCTATCATAATATCAGAAATAGTAATAGAGAAGTACATACATTGGGAAAATTTATAGATGTGATGTAATTTTTAATACCTAATAAATCAATTAGTTTTATGATATGTAAATGTTTTTATTTTGCCAAATAATACAGTTTAAAAAAATTAATTGTGTAAGGAATGAGTGACTTAAATCTTTACTATAAAAGGATACTAATTTGTTTCGTTTTTCCATAATGACTTTGTTAGATAATGATTACAGATTTAAAACATTGATAGAAGTACAGAATTACTATGAAAAACTAATCGTACAGGGACACAATTGATTGGTTATGTAGACTTTATTACATAAAAAGGAAATGCATTTTGAGCTGTTTGTCTCCTCTTCATTTTTTATTATACATATCTGATAAAACTACATAATAAATTATGGTATAATTAACAACACAACTGTTTATTATCATACACATGTAAAATTTACAAAAAAATTAATTACCTGAAATGATATACAGTATTACTAACAGTTTGAGTAACAAAATTTTTAAAATTTGGTCACTATTAAATATCATTTCATGTAATTAATTTTTTTGTGGGGTTTTACATATGTGTAGGATAATAAATAGTTGTTAATTTTACTGTAATTTTCTGTTGTTTCATCAGTTATGTATATTAAGGACTGAAGAGGGGTGAATAGTCCAAAGTATATTTCCTTTTTATTAAATAAAGTCTACATTACCAATCAACAGTATTCCATAGTAATTCTGTGCATACTTCCAAAAAACTAAGTAGAGAGAATAAGAAGGAATCAATTATTAAATGTTATTTTTATAAAAAGAATAACAAAGTGATAATTTAATTGTTGGTGAATGAAAATATTTTTCTTGAAATAACCAATTTAAAACTTTTTGAAAAGTTTCATAATTTTATCTTAAATTTTTAGGTAGCAAGTCTTCCCAAGCTAATGACTCACTTGGAAACTCTGCTGATTTTGATTCTGAAATTGTTGATAGAAAACAAGATAAAGAAATGAGTAAGTTAAAATGAACAAAATATTATCTCTGTTATTGATCTCTTATTTAATGAAATGTTATAATATTTTTTAATTTATAATCTGTTCAGTCAAATATACAGCTATCCCTTGGTTAACATGATTAATCAATCCCTCAATCCTATCATGTGTATCAAAATTGCACTAACCAAATATGGTATCTACATTAAGTAAAGACAGCTGGTAAAGCCACATAAATTAAAACTTCTGTTGCATGTATAAGAGATTGCCGCAATTAATTTTGCATGTTGATCGAATCCTGCATTAACCTGTACTTACCAAGCATCTTCCGCTGTTGTATTGATTGTTTCTCATTTCCAATACTCCATTAGAGCTACTCTTGCTTCTAGATTTCTTTCTTTTCTTAGCTAAGGAATTTGATCCAACAATTTATTCAAATATATTTTACTTTTATCTATATTTGAAAAGCTTGTTCTAAGATTAAAAGATGATAAGTAGTTCAAATTTGGATTTCTTTCTGCTTGCCATTAATGGAAAAAATTTGAGGTTAATGATAATTTCTAATTGGAAAAACGGTATTCATCTTTATTTTCAGTGACATTTTCAAAAACTTTTTGTGATTTTCAGTAACCATTTTTAGATTCTTCCTTTTAGATGCAAGTTTTGGCTAATTAACATTACAAAATCTAAAACAATAAAAATGTTTTTTTTTATTTATTAGAACATTCTAGAATTATTTTTTGCATTTGATTTTCTGCTTCTTTAAAAATTGCAATTAAAGAAGTTGCTTCTTGACTAATAGTGAACAACTTTTATACACTAAATAAAACATTAGGAAAAAGTTTACTGTAAACTAATTTGCAAATGAAGAAATGTCAAATTGACTATATATTTCATTCTCCAACATTTTAAAAGTGGATTACCACCAAAGACGTGAAGAGTGTCAAGTAGAAAAGCAAAAGTTTAATGAAAGTCAAATTGGAAGGATTGAAGAAGCTCATTGAATACAGCAAAAAGGTTTAATTCAATCTGTAGTCCTGAAACTGAAAATTTCATACAGTTGGCTCCATGAGTATTTAAAAATGAGAACATGTTAAATATCAAAAGAAGCAGGCAATTCTGGACAGAATAGACATATTCACTAACCCAGGCATGGCCAACATACGGCTCACGGGCCAGATCCGGCCCGTCTAATGAATTTATGTGGCCCGTGATCAAACTTTCAAAATAGCTCAATGAAAACTTCTGACGCCTAAAAAAAAAAAGAGGTTAACAACTCACCATGCGTTTAGAGTTAACCCTCCATTACAAATCTCAAGTATAGCATAGAGTGTTGATAAAGCATGATAATGTGAGAAATGTATCTGTAATCTCTATCTACAATTTAGTCTCTACGGGGTGACACCACAATGAGATCTCGCACCATCTGAAAATCTTTCTAGGACAACTCTGGTTCGGCCCGTGGAAAAAGTTTTCTTTCCAATCCTGCCTGGGGGCAAAAATTGTTGGCCACCCCTGCACTAACCTATTACTAACCTATTACAAGATTTGATTAAATTTTCAATATATTATTCTGGTAAAACATACATAACTACTACATTTTTAATGTAAACATCATTTTACAAATGTATTCTGACAGAGAATGGGTTTTGCAATCTTCTAACTAATCTTAAAACTAATCATTTATATGAAAATGGAGTTTTAGAATTAAGAGGATATTATAGCTGAAACATTTGCACAATTTTTTTCTATTATGGATTCAATAAAGTAGTTACTATTTATATAATTTGAGTTTATAAAGCATTTTATTTCCTAACTTATATAAATTCTTAAACAAAGGAGAAGAGTATATATTTCAATAACAATGTAATCATTATTCAGAAAGATTGGACTACTATTATATTTATTTTCAAATTATTTATATATAAAAATAAATGTTTATGAAAATTGTAGTGAAAACTTTCTACGAACAATAAATATTTAAAGTTTGCTTAAAAAAAGGAAAAAAGATTCACCATATTGCTTCAATTTTATGATGCTATAGATTCAAAAAAGCACTATGATTCTGAAATGAATTTTTAAGATTTTAATCAGTTGTTCAGTAATGAGTTAGAGGAGCAATACAAATATCCTAAAACAGGTAATGTTTGTCATTCCATACTTGTTTGCATCTACAATAATGAGTATGGAATGCACCTTTAATATTGGTTCAAATAACTATCTTGACATCAATTGGCAATCAAAATGTAATAAACATGCTGAATGATTATTTTGAGTGGTTATCTATTATAGGTTTTTGTAACAGTTACTAATATTCTTTTAATAACAAATTACAATTATTTCTTTAATAAAATATTTTCATTTTTTTTAGCAGTTATAGAAAATGAATTAGTGAACACTACTAAAATTCTGAGTAGAGGTCATGAACGATCTCAATCTGATGGTGCAGAAAAGATCTACGATATAAGGAACGCAAAAATATTGTCAAGAAACAAAAGTAGTATATTGTCTTATTTTTTTTAATATTTGTTTCATTTTAGAATTGATTGATTATTATATTAAAATATTCTAGTTCACATGGAAGAAGAAACTTCCAATAAGCCAGAGAAGAAAGAAAGAGGTACGGTCAAAACTATTATTAGTCAGTTGTTATCGAGCACTGCGATCACACCAATCCAGAGTCCATTTCCGTTAACAGAGCATCTTTTGTTAGTACAGTCTGATAAGGTAAATAATTTTAATTCAAAATATTAAGATTTTAAGTAAATCCTAAAATAAATCCTTATTTTTAGATTCCAATAATTGTATATGAAGAAAAACCCAGTTCAATTATAGCCTATACTTTAGCTTCTACAGATTATGAACAGCAACTACAAGAATTAAAAATTGGATTGACAACATTTAACGCAACCCAGAGAGAAAGTAGAAATTCTAGGTTTGTTATGTCAAACTAATTAAATATAAATACAGTGTTTAGCATAACTTTGAATTTATTCTTCTCTTCTAGTGTTACATGACAATAATTTAGTTTATAGAT